TTGCCATTATTTCACCTTGCGTAGGTACAAAAGCTTAGAAAGACCTGTAAAAAATATCCATCTCACAGTCAATAATTACACATCTTCCAATATCTTCTCATACTTGCCCCTTCCTTTTACTTCTACCAATTTCTACTTGCCTTCTTTAAATTTTTGCTAACTTCATCATGCTCCTCACAAAGCAAGGGAAATTTGCCAAACCACTCCAAGGCCCTAAATCCAAAAAGCCATTAAGGAGGTTGAAGTGCTGCCTATAGAAGCAGTTCCACTTAGCACCAGCACAAAGAAAGCGCTCCACCTGTAGCTAAGCTCAGCCTGCTGACCGGGATCTGAGTAGAATCATAGAATCACAGAATGGTTTGGGTTGGAAGGGACCTCACAGATCATCTAGCTTAAATCCCCCACCATGGGCAGGGACATCTCCCACTAGACCAGGTTGCTCAAGGCTCCATCCAGCCTGGCCTTGAACACTTCCAGGGATGGAGCACCAACAACTTCCTTAGCTAACCTGTGCCAGTGTCTCACCACCCTCAGGGTGAAGAACTTCTTCCTTGTATCTAGTCTAAACCTGCCCTCTCACAGCTTCCAACCGTTACCCCTTGTCCTATCACTGCAGGCCCTTGTAAATAGTCCCTCCCCAGCCTTCCTGCAAGCCCCCTTCAGGTACTGGCAGGCCGCTATGAGGTCTCCCCAGAGCCTTCTCTTTTCCAGGCTGAACAACCCCAACTCTCTCAGCCTGTCCTCGTAGGAAAGGCGTTCCAACCCTCAGACCATCTTGGTAGCCCTCTTCTGGACTCACTCCAACAGCTCCATGTCTTTCTTGTGTTGAAGGCTCCAGAGCTGAACACAGCACTGCAGGTGGGGTCTCACCAGAGCAGAGTAGAGGGGGAGAATCACCTCTGTTGACCTGCTGGCCACACATCTTTTCACGCAGCCCGGGATGTGGTTGGCTTTCTGGGCTGCAAGCACACACTGTTGGCTCATGTTCATGCTGTCATCCACCAGCACCCCCAAGTCCTTCTCCTCAGGACTGCTCTCAATCTACTCATTGCCCAGCCTGTATCTGCGCTTGGGATTGCCTCAACCCAGGTGCAGGACCTTACACTTGGCCTTGTTAAACTTCATGAGGTTGGCCTGGGCCCACCTCTCCAGACTGTCAAGGTCCCTCTGGATGGCCTCCCTTCCCTCCAGTGTGTCAACCTCGCCACACAACTTGGTGTCGTCATCAGCAAACTTGCTGAGGGTGCACCTGATGCCACTGTCCGTGTTGTTGCCAAGGATGTTAAATAGCACCAAGTCCCAGTACCGATCCCTGAGGAACACTGCTTGTCACTGGTCTCCACTCAGACATCGAGCCATTGATTGCAACTCAAAACCCCAACAAACTGCATAGCATGGTGAAGATGCCGTAAGTCTATCCATCTCCTCTATACCTTGTTCTCACATTTCTATCCATCCATCATGCTCTTGCAGACCTAGCTAACGTATACAGAGGGCAGAGGACACATTTGCTATCCAATTTATAGTCCACCTGGTCCATAGTTTACTACTGCTGCCTAGTGAAATCTCACTGGAAAAACACGGATAGGTAATTGAGTTGAGGTACCCAGTTCAGTTTCACTTGCCTGCCTGTAAAGTATCTCTGCATTAAGCCATGCCACCAACTCTGTACTGCGCTGTATCAGTATTTCCATTAGTTTCACATATTTAAGTGCTTTGCAAGATCAAAAAGTAAATTTTCAATATGACAGTACATGTTTTTTCACTATTTGCTTTCTTTGTTCACAGGTTTGTTTTTTTTTTTAATTTCTAATACATTAATCAGACTTCTTTGCTGGCTTACTCTTACTGATTCTCAAGGCTTTTTTCCTCTTGGTATAACCTGAATATGCGTATTTTCCTATTTTCCAGCAGTGTGCATTTGCAGAATTTAAAAGATGTCACTTGAACCAGTGCCCCAAGATTGCAGTTGCTGCAGTTTCAATAGCCAACACAACTTGGTGCCATCAGCAGACCGCATAAAGTCTACATCCCAGGCTGGAGCACAGCACAAGGTTCAGCCTAAGCAGTCCAATTTCCATAACACAGAAATCAACTCCTGAGGCAGAAGTAGGCGGACAGCCAGGGCTTTCCCTTTGCTGGGGTCAAGACACTGAAGGAGCCCTCCAGAAGTCGCCAGTTTTGCAAAGCCAGTATTAACTCTTCAGTGGTCTGCGTAACTACTCTTGTATTCACAAGTATTTCTATTTATTCTCCCTTCCACCCTTTTTAACAGAGACCTTATCCAAAAGTAACAACTCAGTGGCATTTGGTATTGATGAACTAATCCAACAATGTGTTTGCTACTTCGGATGCTAAGGAATTACATTTTCCCTCTTGCAATCACATACACAGTTTCATTTTATCTGAATATTTACATTCATTCAACGATTACCCTGGTGTATTTTTTAATTAGACCATCAACCACTCCAGTTGAAATCAGTAAGTCTGTTCTTTTAGGATCTTATCTTTTCCACAGCAAACATTAATTAGTTACTGTACACGTTTCAGAAGAGCAGCTGGTTTTAAAGAATGATATTCAAGACCTATAAGCTTTTTTGGTATTGCAGGTTAGGCTGGAAGATAGGTCACTATTATGTTCAGTGTTTCATACTTTGTATGTTTCAGATCCTTAATAAAAAAATATAAAAAAGTAATAACAGAGTAATTTCAACACCTGACTTTGTCTCATTGCTCCATAATCTTTTTCTCAAAGGCAACGTTTGCCAAAGACAGATTCTGGATGTCCTTTAAAATGTAATTAGGGGTCAAGCTTTCAGTGACCCCTAATTACAGTTTTACCTATCATCACGCACTAGCTACCTGGCTCATTTTTTTGTTAAGAATGCTTTCTGTCTCTGGAAGTATTTATCCCAAACTCATTACCACGAGATTCTGATTGGACCCTTTGTACTTCCAAAGCAGCTGCAGAATTTTTAGTCATAAAAACCAATCAAAGACACGAAGGTGAGTATTACTGATACATTTTACAAGTTTAATTTTCAACAGCACCTTGTTTCAGTTGTGAAAAAGAAATGCCACATGTCCAAATGGTATGTATTAATCAGTACTTTAGTTTTTCACCAAAGCAATGGAAGCAACTGCCATAAATAATTTTACATCTGAATCCACATGGTGCTGTCATAAGCAAAATGACAAATATATCTTATAATTTCAGTTTCTGTGCAGTTCATTCACAGGCATATAGAATAACATTCGCAATAATCTGGAGCCTGGTTTCATGATTTTATTTTTACCTTGTTTTCATCATAATAAAATCATAAGACCACCCACAGCTATTCAAAGTAACAGTTCAGATGCTGCCATCATTTGCACTACCATAAATGCAATAGTAGTGTGAAACCCAAAGACGATTAGTATGAATACTACTATTCTTACTGCACTTCTGCAGGTCTTTGAAGGTTCTAGATTTCTGTTACTGCAAGTTTGCTTTATAATGAAATGCTGAAAAATGCTGAACAATTTGAGTGAACAAAATGATCTGATACCTGCATCTTCAAGTATTTGCTTCTTACTTCTGAACAGTGCCTGGGAAGAAGCAAAGCTTTATAACAGGGTTCCATCCCCATTCTGCACATACCCCTGGCAATATATACTACTTGTTCTCCCATGTTTCATTCTCTCTGGCACGAAAATCCAGCTCAGAAAGAGGAACAAAGGCAAATACCCCAGAAGATGGCAGATTTGAGCTTAGCCAACAGCCTTTAAAAAAGCCTTCTAAGTCATTCCTCTGCTTTCAGCCTGTACCTTCCATACCTTCCAAATATATTGCAAACTGTGTATTTAAGGAGATATGCATCTGCCACCACTGGCAAAATGTACTGGAAGTCCTTCTCAATAAAAGTCAGTGACCTGAAACCTGTCAGATGTTTAAAGAAAAAAAAAAAAAAAGGCATTCCAAAACCACATTGATCTATTTTACTCTTTCGACATAAAATACACTCTTATAAACAAATTTTACCAAAACACCTGTCCGAAGGGGCAACTGTTTGATACCATTTGCTTTCAGCCATAATCCAAATACACCCTTATTAACAGAGGTAGATACTAGAGCTGCATTACCTACAATCAATAGCAAAAATTCAGAAACAAGTATGTATCTACTGTTTTATACAGTATATATGATGCTCATTCTGCCCTTCTTATTGACAGGGACATTTACACAGGAGTGAATACAAATAAAAGTGGCAGAGTCCAGAGCTTTTTTACTTCTATATGTAAATTTCCCAGACATTATAATACATCATCTTACTCCCTGTCTAACTTTAACCAAATGGTGTAATACAGAAAAAATAAAATCAGACAGTTAAAACATATATACTGATTTATAGCTCAGTTAATAAAGGACAGTTAATAAATATATACTGAATATGCATGGATTAACAATTGCTGCATTGTATCAATGGTAACAAAAATTCTTACAGTAAAAATTGCACTATGTAAGTCCACTTAAAGCAACTGAATGCTATGGATAGTATGCTATCAGACTTATTAGAAATAAGAGTAAAAAACTATGCTTAAGCAAAATGCTTTAGGAGGTTAGCCACCATCACATTTCTTCGTTTGTGAATAACTTTTTTAAGAAAAAAAAGTCAGAACCGAAGATTCATTATTATTAGTGATTCAATTACACATCCAGAGATAACTGAGATGATATGACACCTTAACATTTAATGAAAGACTCTATTGAGATTTTGAAGCTGCAAATTATGTCAGGGTGGAAACTGTTTCTCTGTATTTCACTACACAGCTCCTAAATTTTACCTAAAGAAGAAGAAAACCTTCCATTCTATTACCAGGAATATTAGACCACAGGAATGGTGCAAGTAAGTACATATACTCTACAAGCCAGCAAATAAATATTTCTTTGTGACTACCCCAAGGGATTAGTTGCGGCAAACTTAATCTCACATCCAATTAATAAATTCAGAAACACTCACCATGATTCCAGTGAGTAAACAGACTCCTTTCCCACAGTACGTATTAGGTACCATGTCACCATATCCAATGGATAGAAAAGTTATCGAAATCAACCACATTGCTCCAAGGAAATTGCTAGTAACATCCTGCTGATCATGGTACCTAAAAAGAAAAAGAAAAAAATTTTGTTATCGTGGAAACTTTTGTTGAACTTTTGAGCTGTCAGAAAGAAATTTCATTCACTGATCATACAACCATTCTCGTATTCTACAGTTACTTCCTTTTTAAAAGCAGCTGTAAAGAATTAAATAAAACTCAAATACAATTACATCAGTAGTAAAGAAACAGAAGGTACAACAATAGCACTGGTAGTAGAGACACTCAGAATGCTTTATAATTCAGTATTCTGTTATTATTATTAAAATAGCAGAAACCTCTTGGGTTTTAATAGTATCTTTTCATCAGGGGTACAAGTCCTAATTGTCTGCAACGTCACAAGACACAAATCTACTACAGTTGCTGCACTCTGGGGCAAATATGGAAGTCATAAAACGATGTCGGGGCAAGCAGGCAGAAGAGCACATCTCCCATCTCCTTGGCCTAAATGCAACTCTGTGATTGGAAATCTAATCACTAACTATCACGTAAATGCCGACTTAGACAACCTAAGATCTTTCCTCTCCTTCAACATGTTCAAGATAAATAGGAAAGCATGCCGTTGTATTTCTCAACATCACAAGATCTTTACCTAAGTATGGCAAAATCTCTCTTCTGTGTTAAGTCAGCTATTAAGTATAATTTCCTGATGTGCCATTTATTGTCTTAGTTTTAATATTCTAGTGGAATATTTTCTTCTTCAAAGAAAACAAATTCAGATGAATAATCTAGTCTTCACATGACATATATACCTAATCAACTGGGAAGCCATAAGGACACATTTGGGGGCTAAAACCTGTTATCAGCACTCACTCTGGGGGTGGAAAATGCCTAATAGCCTAATGTAGGTGGAATTTTGCTCCCCGGACTAAGTAGCTCTGCAACAGAGACTGTGGCAGCCACTGCAGCCTCAGGTCAGCTACTTATCCTGTTGGATCCTCAAGGGTATTATTTCAGCCAGTTCCTAAATCCATGTCTCACAATGGGTCACAGAGGTCACAGAGGGTCATTAGGGAATTAGTTCACAAATCTGTAAGGAACCTGCTTTCCACAACCGAAATAATTGCTTCAGTTTTCT